TTAAGTGGCCACTAAAATTTTTCCCAGTAAGGTGGGAGTCTGAGGTTGGATTAAACGGCTCAATTTTTAGAGATTTTGAATCGCTTGAGCCATTCCAAATGCGACCACAACCTTTGAATTCGGGACTAAAGAAGCATTTCTATGATTCTAGTGAATATTTATATTTTTCTAATTGGCTTTTTACATGCTTTTTTTAAGTTTTTTTCACGAAATCGGAAACATTTTTTTATTGTAAGAATACAAATTTACTACGATCAAACTATAAATAAAATTTTCGATAAAACGTTCAATGTGAAAATCTCATCAAAAGCCTCAGAAAGCAGATTTCAGTTGTTTTTGTAGGAAGCCAAAAACAAAAAAACTCGAAGGAAAATTGGGTAAAAGGCGCTCAAATTAATTCAGGCCAGAAAAAAACTCGTCAATTTTTGAGAGGGGTTTACGAGAGCGTTTTTAGGCTTTGTGTGGAGTTTTTTTCTGGAATAAGAAGTATAAGGACCAAAAAAATGATTTTTAAAAAAATTTCATTGAAGGGATGAGAATTCTCCAGGAAAAAAATTATTTTTAGCTCAAAAAAAGCACGAGTGAATTCTTAATTCCGTTGGAAATCTCATATTAACAAACATAACTTCAAATTTCAAAGTGAAAAAAAAAAACGTGGAAAAAGTTTGAAATAAGAAACTCTTCAAAGGCTCATTTCGAAAAAGCAATTGCGCTCCACGGATAAAATAAACCGGGACGGCTCCGTAATTGATCCATGTATTTTAAGGCTCCGGACCATTTTTCAGGCATGTTCTTTTAGCCTTTTCTCCTTTCATTAAATGAAGTTTTCCAAAAAAAAAATAACTATTTCAGCTGAAAAAAACAGCACAAGTTCTCTATTTTTTCAAAATCTCATACACATCAATAAAAAATGGAATTGCAGAGGAAAAATGGAACTGGACGTTGAAAAGTTTGAAAAAAAGAAAAAAGAAAAATCTCATTGGCTCATTTTGAGAAAGTAATTGCGCTCCATGGCGAAAATCAAGCGGTGCCGTATTTATAAACGCCTGTTTATTTTGGTTTCACTCTTACAAAGGGAAGATCGGGTTTCGAAAAGAGGGAAATTAACGGCGAAGGTCTGTGGCGAATGATTGGCGCCTTGTGTTTATTTGTCACCCACCCGGCACACTTTCACGCAAAACTCGCAGTAATAATCGTCTGGCAGTGAGCTGGTGCGATTTTGAATCATTATCGCCGGGTCCGATGAAAGATCTTGAGCCAGTTGGAGTTTTTTTTGGAGGTTATTGAAAATTGGGAGAAGAATTAAAAGTTAACATTCAAAAAAGCTAAAGAAAGCTTAAATAAATATTGAAAAACCCAAAAAAATCCTGATTAAACGTTAGAATTCTTCAACGCTTTCTGATAACCTCCTTCGCAACCCGTTTTAAGTCGGGTGCATTTTTGAGGTATCGCTTCGCAACCGTTCCGCGTAGATCCATTCTAATTGCGACCCAAAGAATATTGATTTGAAGCAAAAATAATATCAACAGATTCAGAATGAAAATCCAAAAATTTCTCCGGCAAGAAACATTTATACATCAATTCGAAAAATCTTCAAAAAACCTTCAGATGAAGCTTTCTCACACTATCAAAATTGCGAGAAATAAATTCCAAGCCAAAGTTAGACCAAAAACTCTCAGCAAGTAATAATTAGTGACAAAAATAAATGAAAAAACGTTTCAATTAGACCACGGAAAATTTTCTTTGAATCTCGTGCAATGTCGGGCCACAATTAGGACGCCGACTCTCCGAGTGAACGCTTCCAATTTGAATGAAAGGTCAAAAAACAAGGGAAAAGTTGCGAATTCGTCGGGATTTTCTGATCAGAGGTAGAGGTTTTCAGAAGCTTTTCTGATCTGAATTTTGCTAGAATGGTATTTTATGGCTTCTTGATTATTAAAAAACAAAAAAGAAACTGGGAAAATTTTCAGTGGCCACCATAGAGACTCGCCAAGGACTACTCGGAGAGGACACTAGAGTGGCCACTAAACCGACCTCTATAGTGGCCACTATTTCGAGTTTTAGTGACCACTATAGAGATTCTCTATTTAGTGGCCTCTTCAGTAGTTTTTCATCCAGTCTTCCTTCCAGTAACTCTAACAATTTTAAAACAAACAGATTGGACCAGTTACGATGACCCATTGATTCCTTAAGTGGCCACTAAAACTTTTTTCTGGTCAATTAGTAGCACTTAGACCTGTATAATGGCCACTAATTTTTAATCCCTAAGTTACCACTCATTTGGCTACTATAGTGGCCACTTAAACTTTTCCCAGGAATCCCGAAAAAAATCACAAAGTTCAGAAAAGAAAATGTTGACCAACACTCCAAAGAGCATGACGTTTGTCGCACTCAATCAAAAAAAGAAGAAAAAATGTCAAAAAGGTCCCAAGCGGAATGGAGGACACTTGTCCCCATCCCGATGAATAACAATCCTCTTTCTCACAGGAGCTTTTTTTGTCAAGAGTCTCGAAAAATGATTGATTGTCGTGAAAATGTCCTTGTTATGCTCGATAAGGGATTGGAGATCAGTCGAAATAACATTTTGTGACATTTGAACATGAAGGATGGAGGCTTTTCAGTGATTTCTGTCACAAGAACAATAGGCGTAGTGAAATGGATAGATTCCGGGGAAAAATCATGAGTTCTTGGAAGTTAAAGAGGTCCCTATAGGGGTGAGGATTGAGAACAGCTAAAAGGGCCGAAAAAGTGCCTACTGAAGGGGCCCCTTAAGGGGTCCCAAGCTAACGCCAATTCATCGAGTTTTTTGCATGGAATTTAGGAAAACTTGAAGTTTCCTTGACTTTTTGGAACTTTCAAATCCGATAAGGCGTCAAATCTCAAAAAGTGCTGACTTTTCGAACGTCCTTTTCAAATTTTAAGGCCAAAAGTCACTTGGAAGCTTTAAAATTATGGCTCCATCTTTTCAAAATCGACCAATCAGTCAAGATCGGATTCTCTTGATTTTATTTACACTTCATTTTTAATAGGAAAACTATATGGAAAGCTGTGAAATTTGTTCCTTTCACCGGCAAGGTTACCCCTATAGGGACCACTCTAGAATTCCTAATTAGCACCGGAAAAATTGAGCTTCAGGAAAAATTTAAAAAAAGGGTTTTTGTTATTTTTTTCGCGAATTTGATATGCAAAAAAATTTTAAAAAAATGATGAAAAAAATTTTTCATGATTAGTTGAAGAAAATGACTAAAAAAAGTTTTTTTACTGGCGCTAAAGGGATATTTTTTTCTAACGAGAACCGTCTCAAGAAAACCAAATAACCGTATAAAAAGACTAAAAATACCAGTAGTGGTCCAACACATTTTGAAGGAAACTTGAAGTTTCTTGAGCTTCAGGCCTAGGTTGAAAAAAGTTATATAATATTCGAGTGTAAAAGCGTTCGAGAACAAAAGTCGTTGTTTTGAACGGAGACCTCCTGAACTCATTTTTCGCCTTCTAATCTGAAAACAATTAAAAATTCCGGGATAACTGAAAGAACGACAGATTTCCCGACGAGATACGTGAATCGCTTCAAAAAGAAAAAGGAAGCGCCGAAAAAAGAAGAAAATTGAACTATTGGGCCAATAATCCCGGCGACGCTTAACTTTTGCAACACACAGCACCTGTTCATAAATTTTGAAGCAGAAAAAAAACCTCTTTTTCCTCTCGAGAAGTACATTTTGGGGCAGTTTAGTATTTATTCACGTTCCGAAAATGACAGCAGAACTGGGTTATGAATAAAAAGTGACCGCCGGATTTGGCGTTGAAGCATCGAAAACCTGAAAAATTGGAACATGGAACAAACAGAAGACTATAAAATTGGAAAATGATTATTTTATGAGGAAGGTTTTGTTGAAAAGGTGAAGAATCACGTTCTAATTTTTGTTTTCAAATTATTCTACTCTCGAGGATTTTTGTTCAACGAAAAAAAACTCACTTATTATGGGAAATTTATCGAAGTGCTTAGGAATGCCAGAGTGGTCGCTATAGGGATTAGGTTGGAAAAGCAAACCCCTATAGGGGACGAAGAAGTCTCCTTAACAGGGAAAGTGGGTTAAAACCAAGTTGCCCCTTTAGTGGTTTAGGCCCTGGCTCCTAAGCCTATAATTATTTATGGTCCCTTTTAATGGTCCCTATAGGGATTTTTTTCAATTTTTTTCAGATTTAGAAATTAAAAAAAGATTAATTCAATTTTAATTGAATTTTTAAAAAAACTTGATCGATTGTCCTTCTGCGGATACGTTTTAGGCAAGTTCATTGAGTTTTTCTTGGAAATATTTTTTTCTTTTTACCATTAGAGTTCATAACAATAAACTACTAGAATGGTCCCTAGAGGGGCCACTTTTTCAATTTTTAGCATCCAGAATAGGGAAAGGTAAAGTGGTCTTTAAAGAGAAAACTGTAGCCCCTATAGGAACTCTTCTAAAGTTTCTAACGGATTTTTATAAGATAAATGGAAAAAAATATGCTCCAAAAAAATGGAATTTCCAATATATAATTTTTTTACAAATTTTTTTGGTTTTCGAACCAGATTTCAACATCTTAAAAATTTAAGTAGATCTTCAAAAAAATAATGAAAACTTGAAATATTCCTGAACGGCCTTTCAAATCCAATAAGTCGTTGAATCTCAAAAAGTGGTGACTTTTCAAACGTATTTTTCAAATTTTGAGGCTAAAAGTCACATGGAAACTTAGAAATCCTGACTCAACCTTTTCAAAATCAACCATTCAGTTAAAAACGAAACCAATCAGTTCCCTGCATACTTCTATTCAATTGAACTTCCATGGATCGCTTTGAAATCGGTCCTTTTCATCGGCGAGCCAAGAAAGGGAACCAATTTACTTCCTTTTTCAGAACATTCTTTTTTCTCGCTATCTAGAAAACTATTGTATGATAGAAATGGTTCGGTTTAAAAGCCAGGAAAATCAAGAAGAAAGCAAGGAAATCGTTTCTGTCGACTGGAATGTTCTCTCCTCTTCTTCTCGTCTTCCTGCTCTCGGCCGTCGTTGTCAACGCTGACGTTATAGAGGTGATGCTTGAAATTTCAGAAATTTCCCAGTTCCTGTACTTTTTCCACTTGACTTATAGTTGGAATGTGAAAAAAAGGTTCAAAAATCCCGACCTTTCAAAGTCTCATGAAAGAATCGCGATTCAGTGTACATTTCTCCACTTTTTACTGATAAAAAGAGCTTAATTCATATAGTTTTACCATGATTCGTAAGTCTCGGAAGAAAAAAACTCAATAAAAAAACATTTTCATAACTGCTTTACTTCCCAAGTTAGCTGTTGACGTTGCTTATTCCGATATAAACGTTTCAGAGCCACAGTTTCGGTGGTGGAAACTTCACAAAAGATAAGAATGACTTTTGCTTCTTCTACGATCGTTCATGGACAGGTGGTGTTCTTTGTGGGCTCGTGGCACCTTGGTTTAGTCTAAGACCCCCCTTGAACAACAAGCCAATTACAAGCCTTTTTACTGTTGCAGAAACTAACGGTCTAGTGAAAACGCGATGCTCTGGCTACCAAACAGATTGTAAACTGAATCCCGTACAGGTAACTTTTTTCTCTCTGAAATGGTTAAGAAAAAGATCGCCAATATAGTCAATGTTTCCCGACTTGAAAGGCGAGGTAGGCGGGGCAAGGGGCGGGACGCGTAGCGTGTGCGTTTGCGGTTCTTGGCGTCAGTTCAATTCAATCGCCGCCGACAATCTAAAAAGCTCGGCAACCGTTCTTTTTCTGTATTTTCCACTATTTTTTGATGCAAACATGAACATAATCGATAAATAATTGAAAAAGGAGTGAAAAGAGCGATAAATAAGCTCTTTGAATGTTCGCTCGCGGTTGAATTGAACTTGTGCCAAGAACCGCGTACGCACACGCTACGCGTCCCGCCCCTTGCCCCGCCTCCCTCGCCTTTCAAGTCGGGAAACATTGACTATAAAAAAATATGTTTTCAAGAATCACCTAAACTTGGTGAATATTGAAAATTTGGGTTTCTCATCAAAAGAAGGCACACTCGACCATTCCGATGTTTCATGTTCAAATTTCAAGGGCGAAGTTTTCGAATTCCCTGAACACTGCAGCACCATGGAGGAATTCAAAAAGTTCAGCGAAATCGACTTCGAACAACGCGTAGCTGCGAACGGAAAACCGCAAACAGGACAAATCTAGTTTTGTCATGGTTTCAAGGGGAAGGGAGTGAAATAAAGCATTACGATGTCAGTTGTACATTTAAACAAGATTTCCTTTCGAGGAAAGTTTTAAAGAAGGATTCTCGGCATGGATTCCAACTCTGGATGACAAACTGACCTGAATGCTCTTTATAACATTCTGGAAGCGCTACTCAATGAGCAATACCATCAAGATAAATATTCTCCACATGAAAAAGCTAAAAGATAATTATTGATCACAAAGTGAGCACTGGACTTTT